GGGAGAGACTGCTATTGTGACTGGAGTGGGAAAGCCCACACGAGCACAAATTCTCATTTATCCTGCTATTTCTTAGTGCCATGTTAATGTAGTTCATATTATTACCCCTGAGGGGCACTGCTGACTGGTGCAAGAAATTAGTTTTGGTTAGAAATGAGTATGATGTTGAAGCTTTGTAACGGCTCAGGTCTCCAAGTTCCACAGCCTGGATCTCGTTGTGGTCCCAGATGATAGACTCATGGAGGACTCTCTGGGAATCTAAAAAGAACCCACCATACCTTCAGCTTTAGTGTGACATTGGATTTTTTGTCAATGTTATGTTTCCTATTTTTTTTTTTTTTTTTGCTGTATTGACCCTTTGGATTCTAATTAGAGGTATTTGAAGGAATAGCCATTTTGTGGAATGCCTTCAGTTCTTAGCGTTACAAGAGAAGATTGGTAGCATTGTTGTCTGTCAGTTACAGTAATTAGCCTAGCTTAGCATAAATACTGGAAACAGCTAGCCTGTCCTGTCCAGAGGTTTTAAAATGTTGTATACCAGAACCTCTAATACTCACACATTGTATGTTGTTTGTTTAATGCATACAAAAGTGTAAAAATACATGCGGTAGATACATGTCGGACTATTTCTTGGGCGGGGACAGTAGTCGCCAGGCAGCTGGCAAAGACATCAATGTATGGATTAATTAAATGACATAACATGTCATGTATTATCTGTGGACAAAGCCAGCAAGTGGTTTCCCTTTGTTTCTACTCTTTGCGCTTATCAAATTGGCTGCTGGCTTCATATTTACAGACACAAAAGACGTATCAATCTTCTCATCTCAGTGAATAAGTATATTTCCCAAAATGCTGAAGATAGTCTCAAACAGTGTGATGCCTCATTGGAAATGTGTTAACCACACAGATGGCTTGTTACCTTTTGGCACCCCAGTAAGTTTGGCCTCTGATATACGCAGATAATTCAGTTTCAATCCCTTGAAGGCTCCAGGCTCAAAACCGCTGTTATGGATGGGGTTTGCTCCCATTTCTGCAAGATGAAGGGGATATTTGTGGCATGAAATAAAATACAGTCTCTTTAATCTTCAAAATCCAATGCCAATGCTATACAGTGGCAAAAGCAGTGGTGAGCACCACCGAATATAGCCTAAATTGGTTGAAGTCATCAGCGTTTCTGACCTATGCAGTTCATGGTGCCCAGCCCTGAGAAGGCTCCAGCTGCCACTTTCTTGATGCGGTTCTCGTGGATCCTCATCTCAACCAGAGAGGCAGGCAAGTTCTTGGGGATAGTGGTCAGCAAATTCTTGGAGAA